TTATATGTAGCTGTATATGCGTGCATATGTATTATATTCTACATGACTAACATTATATATATATGTATTATATATAATATATTATATGCATGCATTGGGGTGTATACGCAGGTGCGCATCCAGGGGCTGACAGTGGTAGGGGAGAACGTATGTCTTGGAGATGAGTGTTTTATTAACGGGGCTTTTATTTTACCTCACAAGTCTGTCAACGAGTCTGTCTTTACCCCTGGCTCTGTAATAATGTAATAATAATATAACAATATAATAATAATAATAATAACAGAGAAAAACAAATACTCGTCTCTCAATAAATATTTATTTGGCTTACAACTGCACAAACAATCTCCATTCATACACCCCATTAGTAATCCTGCAGCAGCAGACGCAGCAGCAGCAGCAGCAGACGCAGCAGCAGCAGACGCAGCAGAAGCAGCAGACGCAGCAGCAGCAGACGCAGCAGCAGCAGCAGCAGCAGCAGCAGCAGCAGCAGACGCAGACGCAGCAGAAGCAGCAGACGCAGCAGAAGCAGCAGACGCAGCAGCAGCAGCAGCAGCAGACCCAGCAGCAGCAGCAGAAGGAGACAGGCAGCAGCAACCGAAGAGAAAGAGACATCGGGCTTTAGAGTGAAGCAAAGTCAAGAAAATAAAACAAACAGAGACAAACAGAGACACTCACTGTCTCTGCTGCACACGCCTTTGCTGCTGCCTACTTCAAGCCAAACCCTAAACCCTAAACCCTAAACCCTCGTAGAGCTCTTTCTCTAAGGATGGTTTGTGCTGTCTCCTTTACATATACAGTATAAATGTAATATGTGAATGCATATACAACAGCAGCTGCAGGAGCAGCAGCTGCTGCAGCAGGAGCAGCAGAAGCAGCAACTGCTGCAGCAGAAGCAGCAAAAGTAACAACTGCTGCAGGAGGAGCAGCAGCTGCTGCAGCAGGAACAGCAGAAGCAGCACCTGCTGCAGCGGGAGCAGCAGCTGCTGCAGCAGGGACAGCAGCTGCTGCAGCAGGAACAGCAGCAGCAAGTGCTGCTGTGTGTATTTGTTTATTTTGTTTTATTTTTTGCTGCTGTTAGCTTAGGGGTCCCTCGGGCGTCTCCTTTCTTTGTTTTTGTTCTTCTTATTTTATTTTGTCTGTCTTTGATGCTTTAACTCTTTTTATTATTTTCTTTTGACTAATATTACAATAAAATAAAATAAATAGAAGGAGAGTGAGATATTTAAAACAAAGAGATCTGTTCATAAACCCTTTTCATGCAGTGGGGGGCCCCAGGGGCCCCTATTTATGCTGCTGCTGCTGCTGCTGCTGCTGCTGCTGCTGTTGGTGGTGGTGGTGATGCTGCTGCAGCTGGTGTCGGTGTAGCTACAGCTGTTTCTATTGGTGCTGCAGCAGTTGGTGCGGCTGCTGTTGTTGCTGCCGTTCTTGCTGCTGCTGTTGCTGCTGTCGCCATTGCTGTTCTTGCTGTTGCTGCTGCTGCTACTGCAGCTGCTTCCTCTCAGCTGTTGAGTTTTTGCTGTTGTTTTTACAACAGACGCTGCTACAGCTGCAGCTGCTACTGCTGCACCAGTTACTGCTAGCAAGAGTTGCTCCAGCAGCAGCAGCAGCAGCTGCAGCAGCAGCTGCAGCAGCAGCAGCAGCAGCAGCAGCAGCAGCAGCATGGTTTGTTTACCAGAATTTAGTGGAGACCTTGAGGGGGCTCCTCCCCACAAAAGGAGACCACCACTTCTCCTTCGGCTTCCCCATGCCCTTCACCTCATGATACCTGCATGCATGCAGCAGCAGCAGCAGCAGCAGCAGCAGCAGCAGCAGCAGTAGGAGCAGCAGCAGTAGCAGCAGCAGCAGCGGGCACACATATGGAGCAGAAGATACTGCTGCAGCAGCAGTTGCTGCTAATGCTGTAGTTTTTGCTGCTGTTCATTCTCTTCCTCTTGCTTCTTCTGCTGCTGCTGTTGCTGCTGCTGCTCTTGCTGCTGCTGCTGCTGCTGCTGCTGTTTACCTGTATCTTCTGTAGGTGTCGAACTTTAGGAGTTTTTTTCGCGTTGCCCAATACCCGTGGCGTTTATACCACTTCCATTTGTTAGGCACCCATGTCCCTGCAGCAGCAGCAGCAGCAGCAGCAGCAGTAGCAGTAGGAGCAGGAGCAGCAGCAGTAGCAGCAGTAGCAGCAGCAGCAGTAGGTGGAGTATGTATATGGGCACCGCAGGGGCGAACTCGAAAACACGGAGGAAGCAGCAGCTGCTGTTGCTGCTGCTGCTGCCTTTTCAGGCTGCTGCTACAGCAGTTGCTGCTGTAGCAGCTGCAGCAGCAGCAGCTGCTGCTGCTGCTGTTGTTGCAGCTGCTGCTGCGATGCACTCACCTCTCCATTTATTTCCCTTCCATAGCAGCAAAGCGCAGCTCTCAACGGCTTCCTTAACAGCAGCAGCAGCAGCTGCTGCAGCAGCAGCAGCAGCTGCTGCAGCAGCAGCAGCTGCAGCAGCAGCAGCAGGGCCAAGTGTATGTGTTCTCCACTCTATACTTTGTCCCCGCTCCTGATGAGTCGTACATACACCCAAACTAGAGCCTCTGCAGCCGCTGCTGCTGCTGTTGCTGCTGCTGCTGCTGCTGCTGTAGCTGCTGTGGTTGTTGCTGCTGTTGCTGCTGTTGCTGCTGCTGCTGCTGCACGGTACCGACACTGCAGCAAGACCCCCCCAACGAAACAGAGACTGCAGAGGCGTCAGCCTGGGGTTGAGCACAGCTCTTGTTGCTGCTGCTGCTACTTCTGCTGCAGCAGCTGCTGCAACAGCAGCTGGAGATCCTGCTGCTGCCTCAACTGAAGCAACAGAACACACACAGCGCCGCTGCTGCTGCACTTGCTGCAGCAGCATTTGCTGCTGCTGCAACAAATACCGGCTGTACGAGCCCAGCTGCCGGTCTGCTGCTGCTGCTGCTGCTGCAGTTGCTGCTGCACTGGCTCTTAGGGGCCCCCCAACCTTTGCTGATTTGCAGCAGTTCGAAGGGTCTCCTTCTAAGCAGCTCTGGGGGGCCCCCCTGGGGCCCCCCCATGCCTCCCTTTGGCTGCAGCCTCGGCCCTTTAGGGGGGCCCCCGGGGCCCCCTGAGGCCCCCTAGGGGCCCCTTGAGGCCCCATAGGGGCCCCCATGAGCCCCAGGGGGGCCCCTTGAGGCCCCCTAGGGGCCTCCTGAAGCCCCAGGGGGGCCCCCTGAAGCCCCAGGGGGGCCCCCTGGAGCCCCAGGGGGGCCCCCCTGGGCCCCTTAGGGGCCCTCATAAGCCCCACGGGGGCCCCCTGAAGCCACAGGGGGGCCCCCTGAGGCTCACTGGAGGGCCTCGGGGGCCCCCTAGGGGCCCCCTTAACAAAGTGGAGAGCCGAAAAGAGAGACAATCGATTGCTGGTTGGGGGCCCCTGGGCCCCTAGGGGGCCCCCCAGGGCCCTTTGGTACCCTCGCAGCATTTGTTTAGAGTTAGCTGCTGAGGTGTATATACACTGCAGTAATAATTAAAGAAGAGCAAGAAAGATAATGTAGGGGGGCCCCCCAAGTGTTAGGGGGCCCCTTAATAAAGGAGCAGCAAAACAAACAGCTGCGGCCCCTGATAAAGAAAGAAGACAGTAAACCCTAAACCCTAAACCCTAAACCCTAAACACTAAACCCTAGAGATGTTTGTAGAAGATGTCTGTACACCCGAAGGGCTGACTGGGGCTGCGCCCACAGCCAGTCGGCAGCGGAAGGCCCCCCAGCGATTGAGAGGGGTTTAGGGTTTAGGGTTTAGAAATTAGGGTTTGGAAATTAGGGTTTAGAGTTTAATGTTTAGGGTTTAGGGTTTAGGGTTTAGGGTTTAGGGCTTTAGGGTTTGGGCTTGGAGTTTAGAGATGAAGGCTGAGAGTCTCTCGCGCAGCGATCCCGCTATAGGGCGTAGGGTTTAGGGTTTAGGGTTTAGGGTTTAGGGTTTGGGGTTTAGGGTTTGGGGTTAGGGTTTTGATGTCTTCACTAAGCAATACCCCTCTGGAGAGCAGATTGCCTTCGTCTTTAGGGTTTAGGGTTTACTCCTTACAGTTTTGTTTCTTTCTCTGAAGTCTAGGGTTTTAGGGTTTTAGGGTTTAGGGTTTAGGGTTTAGGGTTTACGGGGGTTGGTAAGCCCTAAGCCCATCACCCCTATGCATGCATTATATTTAAGCTGCATGTACACCTGAAGAACTCCCAGGGGATCCCTCAGCTGACAGCAACAGCGGCAGCAGCAGCAGCAGCAGCAGCAGCAGCAGCAGCAAGAACTCCAACGGCTGCAGCAACAACAGCACATTTCTTAGAGCAATCTTCTGCTGCCAGCTCTTGCTTCGGTAACGACAGCCACAGCAGCAGCAGCAGCAGCAGCAGGAGGCAGCAGCAACAGCAGCAACAGCAACTAGAGTTGAGGGGTTTTGTATTTGTTTGAACACCATGCTGAGTTGGTGAGACATTACGGGTGTGCTGCTGCTCTTGCTGCTGCTGCTGTTGCTGCTGTTGCTGCTGCTGCTGCTGCTGCTTCTCCCTCGTCTGTTGTTGATGCAGCAGCAACATGTTCTGATGCAGCAGCAGCAGCTGCCCTTCTCCCACTGCTGCAATTGCTGCACTAGAGTTTGCTGCTGCTGCGTCTTTACTTGTTGCAGCTGTTTAAACCGTTTGCTGCTGCTGCCACTGAGATCATTTGCTGCTGCTGCTGCTGCTGCTGCTTGCGAGTTTGTGATTGTTGTTGTTGCTGCTGCTGCTGCTCAAGCGTTTGTTTGCTGATATTGTTTAGGTGTTTGCTGCTGCAGCTTCTGCTGCTGCTGTTTGAGTGTTTGTTTGCTGCTTCTGCATGCATGTTCCTTTGCTGCTGCTGTTGGTACTGCTGCTGCTGCTGCTGTTTGCTTGACCGCTTGCTGCTGCTGCTGCTGCTGCTGCTGTTTGTGTGATTGCTTGCTGCTGGTGCTGTTACGTTTACAGCGTTTGTTTGCTTCTGCTGCTGCTGCTGCTTCTGTTAGAGTCTGCTGTTCTGCTGCTACTCCTGTGTAAGAATTTGCTGCTGCTGCTGCTGCTGCTTGTGCAGCTGCTGTCAAAGAGTCTCCTGCTGCTCGTGTGCAAGAATTTGCTGCTCCCTCTGCTGCTGCTGCTGTTGTTGTTGTTGCTGCTGCTGCTGCTGCTGTTTGTGTGCAGGTTAGAGCGTGCGTTATGCTGGGCTTTGTCTGCTGCTGCTGTTCCTCCTCATGTTGCTGTTATTATGGACGGCAACCGCAGATTTGCTGCAGAAAGGAGACAGTCTCCTTCTGAAGGGCATCAACAAGGCGCTCGCACACTCAAGCGAGTATCAACTGCTGCTGCTGCTGCTGCTGTTGCTGCTGCTGCTCATGCTGCTGTTGCTGCTGTTGCTGCACATGCTGGTGGTGATGGTGCTGCTGCAGCTGATGCTGCTTCTGGTGCTGCTGCTGCTGCTGCTGCTGCTGGTACTCCTGCTGCTGCTGTTCGTGTTCATGCTGCTGCTGCTGCTCTTGCTGCTTCATTGGCTGTCTTAGTCTCTGCTGCTGTTGCTGCTGCTGCTGCACGCCTCTCTGGTTGTTGCTCTGCTCGCAGCACCCCTTTTGCTGCTGTTTTTCGTGTTGCTCATGCTGCTGCTGCGGCTGTGGCTGCTGCAGCCACTGTTGCTGCAGCTGACTTTGCTGCTACTACTAGTACTACTGCTGCTGCTGCTGCTGCTGCATCGCTGACACAGTTGAGCCCGCTGCAGTACACTTTAGGGTTTAGGGTTTAGGGTTTAGGGTTTAGGGTTTGTGTGCTCAGGTTGCCACTGCATGCGCAGCTGTTGGTGTTAGGGTTTTGTCTGTCTATGCATTTGCGCTGAACAACTTTTATAGACAAGAGGACGAAATCTGCTGTCTCCTTGACTTAGCAGAAACCCTCTTCAGGGACCCCACATGGATTCAGTGAGGGTTTAGGGTTTAGGGTTTAGGGTTTAGGGGGTGTGGCTTTGTCAAGGGGTTTAGGGTTCTTTAAGGTTTTCTCGCTTAGACTTTAGGGTTTAGGGTTTGCGTTTATCTTCACCGGTGAGGGTTTAGGGTTTAGAAATATATCAGCCTTTCGCCAATCTTGCTCTAGGGTTTAGGGTTTAGGGTTTAGGGTTTAGGGTTTAGGGTTTAGGGTTTAGGGTTTTGCGCAGAGGGTTTCTGATGTCAGAAGACATTCGCCTTGTTGTTGTTGGTGATTTGTCTTTCGTGGGGCCGAAGCTGCGAGCAGCAGCAGCAGCAGCAGCAGCAGCAACACAAAACAATAAACGTTTGCTGCTAAGGATATGCGTAGCTTACGGAGGGAGGCATGAGGTGCATAGAGCTATTTGCCGACAGCAGCAGCAGCAGCAGCAGCAGCAGCAGCAACACAACGAGCAGCAGCAGCAACAGCAGCAGCAGCTTGTAGCACCACAACAACAAGACTGCTGCAGAACGACGCCGGAGCCTCATTCAGCCGTGCCTCCAGCAGCAGCAGAAGCAGCAGCAGCAGCAGCAGCAGCAACACCAGCAGCAGCAGCAGCAGCAGCAAATGTCTCTTCTGCTCTTCAGTTGCCTGCTGAGGGCTTCTGCCAGCGGCTGCGCTCTGCACAAATTGAAGGGAAGTGGAAACCAGATAAAATAACAAGGTATATCCTGCTGCTGCTGCTGCTGCTGCTGCTGCTGCTGCTGTTGCTGCTGCTGCTGGTGTTGCTGCTGCTGCTGCTGTTGCTGTTGCAGCTCTATTTGCCGCTGCTGCTGGTGTTGCTGCTGCTGTTGGTGGTGGTGCAGCTGCTGGAGTTGCTTCTGCTGCTGCTGTACGTGCTGCTGCATCTGTAGTTGCTGCTGCTGCTGCAGTCACTGCTGCTTCTGGAGTTCTTGCTACACTTGCTGCTGCTGCTGCTGCTGCTGCTGCTGTGCTGCAGCGAGCTAGGTTGTGCGTTTTGGAGGGAGCTGCAGGGAGGCGACTGCCCCCTCCCCAGCATTTTAATTCGCACTTCAGGCGAAGCGCGGCTCTCAGACTTCCTTCTTTGCGAGGTGCAGCAGCAGCAGCAGCAGCAGCAACAGCAGCAACAGCAGCAGCAGCAAAAGCACCAGTAGCAGTATGCACGAACGTATATGCAAAGGGGCAAAAGGTAGACTTTGAAAAGGAGACAAATAGATGCAGCAACAGCAACAAAAGCAGCAGCAGAAACAGTAGCAGCAGCAGCAACAGCAACAGCAACAGCAGCAGCAGCAGCAGCAGTTGAATGTGTTTGTTTTGGGGTGTATGCGCAGGTATCTGAGGGGTGTTTCTTCTATTTTATTCCTGTCCTATGGCCCGATATAAGGCCCTGGCAGTTGCTGCTGTGTCTGCTGCACCAGCAGCTATTTTCATTTGCTGCAGCAACAAGAGCAGCAGCAGCAGCAGCAAGATTCCTCTAGAGGGAGCATACTGCAGCAGACGCTTGTTGCTTGCTGTTCCTTCTGCTGCAGCATTTGTTGAAGTAGTACTTGCTGCTGCAGCGGTTGCTGCGGCTGCGGGGCGTCTCCTGCTGCACTACGCAGCAGCAGCAGCAGCAGCTGCTGCTGCTGCAGCTGCTGCAGCAGCTACTATTTATTTTTGTATAGAAAAGGAGACAAATTTTGATGTTTCCTTTAAACCGTCGCTAAGCTGTACAGATGCCTAAACCCTAAACCCTAAACCCTAAGTCAGGATTGGAGTTGAGGTGTAGAGACACCCCAGACAGCAGCACTAGCAGCAGCACCAACAGCAGCACCCGCAGCAGCAGCTATGTTAGCGGCAGCAGCTATGTTAGCAGCAGTAGCAGCACCAGCAGCTATGTTAGCAGCAGCAGCAGCAGCAGCAGCAGCAAGTAGCTTCTCAAGCACCCATCAAAAGGCCTTTAGCTTGAAAGCCGATCCTAGTGTCTGTCCCCTTGCAGTGTATTCGCAGTTGTCAGCAGGAGACTGTCTCCTGCTGCTGCTGCTGCTCCTGCTGCATCTGCGCCGCAGCCATGTCAAGGCTGCTGCTGCTGCTGCTGCTGCTGGTTCCGACAGAGTCGCTAACTCCATCAGGCGCAGCACACACAGCAGCAAAACCAGCATCAGCAGTAGCAGCAGCAGCACCGGAAGGGGCAGCAGCAGCAGCAGCAGCAGCAGCACCTGCTGCTGCTTCAGGATTCCCTTGACTGTTTGCTCGAGGAGGCCCTGTAAGACCTAATGCATCGAGACGATTCAGCAGCTCCAGCGCATACTGCAGCAGCAACAGAAGCAGCAGCAAAACCAGCAGCAGCAATAGAAGTAGCAGCAGAAGCAACAGTTGGAGCAGCAGCAGAAGCAGCAATTGAAGCAGCGGCAGCAGCAACAAGACAAACCACGCAGCAACAAAGGGGACCAAGGAAGATCAACAGCAAAAGCAGCAGCAACAGCAGCAGCAGCAGCTGCTGTTGTAGAAAGAGCAAACGGGAGGCAGCAGCAGCAGCAGCATCTCCAGCAGCAGCAGCAGCGGGTGCAGCAGCAGCAACAGAAGCAGCAGCGGCAGGTGCAGCAGCAGCAATAGAAGCAGCAGCAGCAGCAGCAGCAGAAGGCCGCAGGGTGAAGCAAGAAGAGACAAAAGGAGACAAAAGGAGACAGCAGCAAATTACCCCGTGGAACTCGTTTTTCTCAGCTCGCACTGCAGCAAAAGCAAAACAAAATAAATATAAATAATAAATAATAAATAAATAAATAAATAAATATAAACAATAAAAATAAAATAAAGAAGTGAAGACATAAAACAATTAAACAAATAAATAAAGAGAAAGGAGACAAACAAATGTGAAAACATAAAACACGTTTGCAGCGTAGCTTAAGCGGAGACACCACAAACCCTAGCTAAACCCTAAACCCTAAACCCTCAACACTAAACCCTAAACACTAAACTCTTAAGATATTCAATGTGGAGACAGCTGCTAATAAGAAGAGGAAGAGGAGACAAAACAAACAAAATACAACAACAACTACGCAGCAGCAGCAGCAGCAGCAAAAAAATGCCTTCCCACGGCAGCAGCAGCAAAAGAAGTAGCAGCAGAAGCAGCAGCTGCAGCAGCAACAGCAGCAACAATAGATTCAGCAGCAGCAGCAGCAACATACATTGTTGAAATGCCTCTAGAATCCCCTTTGCTGCTCCCTGCTGCAGCAGCTGCTGCTCCAGCAACTCATGTCTTTCGTTGTCTCCTAAGTGAGGAGACACCTCAGCAGCAAATTGCTGCAGCAGCAGCAGCACACGAGCTGTGCTATCTTCGTCTGTCTCCTCAATAAAAGAGGTATTGCCCAGCATCTGTATGCAGCAGCAGCACAACATGAAACTCTAGTCCTTTGCTGCTGCTGTTGCTGCTGCTGCTGCACGTGAGCATAGCCCTGCAGCAGCAGCAGCAGCAGCACTAGCGACTGCTATTTACAGCTTCCAGTTGCTACCACCAGTTGCTGCGGCGATTGCTGCAGCAGCAGGCGGAGGAGCCGTAGCAGCAAATTGACTAGCAGCAGCAGCTGCAGGAGCAGCAGCATGATGCGCAGCAGCAGGAGAAGTAGCAACAGCAGCAACAGGAGGAGCAGCAGGAATCGGAGAAGCAACAGCAGCAGCAACAGCAGCAGCAGCAGCAGCAGCAGCGTTATACTCTTTGTTTCATGCTGTCTTGCTGCTTTAAGGAGACACCGGGTGTCTCTACTTCTTGAAGCTGCGCTTGCAAGCGATGCAGCTGTCCCTGCAGCTCTATTCTATCATTCAGCAGTCGAGAGCTAGCAACAGCTTGTGCCTCCAGCTGCAGCAGCAGCAGCAGCAACAGCAGCAGCAGTAGTAGTAGTAGCAGCAGCAGTAGTAGTTGTAGTAGCAGCAACGGCAGCAGCAGCAGCAGTAGTAGTAGTTGTAGTAGCAGCAGCAACAGCAGCAGCAGCGGGAGCAGCAGCGTAGGGATATTTGTGAGACCGAAGGATAGCCGCACAACAGCACAGGCAGCAGCAGCAGCAACAGCAGCAGCAGAAACAACAGCGGC